GTCCTTCACGGAGGGCTCCCGGAGAAGGGCCTCTGCCGCTGATCTCAGGGGGTGGGGGGGGCACGAATGGACGTAAGCGCTCCTTCAGGTAGCCGGGACCCAAGTCATTTAGGGCTTTATAAGTGATCACCAACACCTTGAATTGGGCCCAGACTTCAATGGGAAGCCAGTGAAGCTGACGGAGGACTGGAGTCATGTGAGCATAACGCCCCGTCCCCATCAGCAGCCTGGCAGCTCTATTCTGCACCAACTGAAGTATCCGGACCAACTTCAAGGGTAGCCCCACGTAAAGTGCGTTGCAGAAGTCAAGGTGGGAAGTCACCAGCGCGTGTGTCATTGTCGCCAGGCAGTCGTACTCCAGGTAGGGGCGTAGCTGATGGATCAGCCGAAGCTGAAGGAAGGCGTTCCTCGCCACCGCTGTCACCTGAGCTTCCAGTGAAAGTTCCGGGTCGAGGAGTACTCCTAGGCTGCGGACCTTGTCCCTAAGAGGGAGTGCAACCCCATTCAGGACTAGGTTCAATTCACCCTCTCCGAAGCCCGATCCACCAACCAACAGGACCTCCGTCTTGTCTGGATTGAGCTTCAGTTTATTGGCCCTCATCCAGCCCATTACCTCGGCCAGGCACCGGTTCAGCACAGCCACTGCCTCACCTGGATTGGTGGAAAATGAGAGGTAGAGCTGGGTATCATCAGCGTACTGATGATTCCGCAGCCCACACCTCCTGATGACCTCTCCCAGCGGTTTCATGTAGACGTTAAACAGCAAAGGGGACAAAAAGGAGCCCTGTGGGACTCCATGGCATAGCTGCCATGGCGCAGAGCCACAGCCCCCCAGCACCACCTTCTGGAACCGGTCATCGAGATAGGAGCGGAACCACTGCAAAGCAGTGCCTCCTACTCCCAATCCCGCCAGCCTATCCAGAAGGATACCATGGTCGATGGTATCGAAAGCTGCTGAGAGGTCCAGGAGAACCAACAGGGACGCACTCCCCCTGTCCTTCTCCCTGCACAGGTCATCGTACAGGGCGACCAAGGCAGATTCAGTACCGTACCCGGGTCTGAAGCCGAACTGAAATGGGTCCGGATAGTCAGTTTCATCCAAGAGTGCTTGGAGTTGTCCCGCCACCACCCGCTGCAACACCTTGCCCAGAAACGGGATGTTGGCCACTGGTCTGTAATTAGTGGCCATCTCTGGATCCAGTGACGCTTTCTTCAGGACCGGTCGGACTACCGCCTCCTTTAAAGGGGCAGGTACCCGGCCGTCTCTTAAAGAGGCGTTGACCACCTCCAGGATCCAGGTCTCAATCCCGTCCTTGGCTTTCTTAAGTAGCCACGATGGGCATGGGTCTAGTAAGCAGGTGGTGGGATGTACTCGTCCAAGCACCTTGCCCACATCATCAGGCTGCAGCGACTGAAATTCATCCATTAATTGTGGACCAGGCGGCAGCATTGGTATCTCCCCAGAAGCCTCTGAGTCACTAGTAGAGTCCAGCTCGTGAGGAATCTGCGCGATTTTCTCCCTGAACCTTCGCGCCCCTCCCTCGGGTCAGTTCCTGGGCAGGGAGCTCTTTCGCTCCCACACGCGCCCCCCCAGCCCTGTGTCTTCCGCTCCCCCCTCCCTTGCCTTTGGCCGCTGCTGCAAAGCAGCTGGCCAGAGAGCTCCTCCGAGGGCCAACTCGCCCCGGGGCCGTAAGCAGCTCCGTGCCCCAGCGGGCGGAGCTGGAAGGAGAAGGGGCCGCGAGGAATTTCGCTCACCGCACTGCTTCCGGGTGCTTCTCTCCATTGTCCGGATGGACCCCAAGTGCCCCCGGGGGCCCTTTCGTCTCCCTCCCCTGGAGCGCGCAAAGCGTATTCCGGGCCCCGGGGCAGGAGGAGAAGCGGCACGCGCCCCGCGGCATCCCCATAACCCCGCGGGGCCACCGCTCCCCTTTCAGAACGAGCGCTGCGTCCCGCCGGAGCAGTGTCCCTGCCACCACAACGGGCAGCTGCACCAGCCCAACGCCACCATCAGCAAGGACTGCAACACCTGGTGAGGAGCGCTCCACGGGGCCACTCGGCCCAGCGCTGCGGCCCCGGGAACCCTGGCTGCGTTTCACGGCCCCTCCCTCGGGCGGACGCCCCTCGTTGGCACAGCCAGGCTCCTGCCGGGCGGCCCATGGCCGGGGCACCAGGGCTGGCTCCCCGCCCGTGTGGCCCCTCCGGCCCCCCTCGGCCCAGAAACGCCGGTGCTGGGCAGGAGGGGAGGCGCCACCGCGGCTGGGCCCACGAGGAGGAAGAGGAGGCAGAGGGGAAGGTGCATCTGGTGGCCGGGGCAGGGAGGGGGCGGCCTGTCGGCGGGGCGGGCGCACGGGGGGGTCGCCCGGGGCCCTCCAAGGCCCGGCACCGGCACCGGCACCGACCCCGACCCGGCCTGCCTCCCCAGCGTTTGCCGGAACCGGCGCTGGGAGTGCGGCCGCCAGCGCTGCGCGGGGACCTGCGTGGCCACGGGGGACCCGCACTACATCACCTTCGACGGGCGGCCCTACACCTTCCTGGGGGACTGCGAGTACGTGCTGGCCCGCGAGAGCAGCGGCGCCTTCACCGTCACGGTCGAGAACGTGCCCTGCGGCTCCAGCGGCAGCACCTGCACCAAGTCGGTCGTGGTGCTGGTGGGCAGCACCGTGGTCCACCTGCTGCGAGGTACGGGAGGCCCGCGGGGGGGGGAGCCTCGGCCCGTCCCGTCTCGGCACCTCCTGATGCCCCCCTTCTCCGCCCACGCCAGGGAAGGATGTGACAGTGAACGGGGCCTCGGTGCGCCCCCCCAAGACGTACAGCGGGAACGGCCTGACCCTGGAGAGAGCCGGGCTCTTCCTCGCCCTCGTCTCGCAGCTGGGACTGACGGTGCTCTGGGACGGAGGTGAGGCCTGGCTCTTCCCTCGGCCCGCAAACGGTGCTCCGGGACGCCCGTCTGGCCCGCTCTGGGTGAGGGGAGCCGGCACGCGAGTCTCATTGGGGGGTGTGAGCACCCGCACCAGGCAAGCTCCCCAAGTCCCCACAGTTCTGTGTACCTTTTGAAACATGCAAACTGTTCCCCAAATACTTCATACCGTTGATTTATAAATGGTCTACATGAAAATACGCATTGTGCACATACATCAAAGTGGAACAATGCAAAATGAATAAATTTTGACGGCTACAGTAAGCACAATGGAGGAGAACTGAAACGGCTACAATTCGGGATCAAAAAGGGATGTGAATACCTCCTGCATTATATGTACTGTACTGGGCTGTATAAACATAGAAACCACGTGAGTCAGAAGGGACCTCCCAGGCCATCTAGTCTGACCCCGGGCTCCAGGCAAACTCTGCCAGAGTCCAACAGCCAGGATAGTTTTCGGTTGCAGGCCAAGGCCTCACAGCCTTGTGATGGTTAGGAAGAGCGCCAGGCAAATTGCCTCGCAGCTGCTTTCTTTAGAGAAAAGCTGCTTTTGCAGTGAGAACTGAAACGGTCTGCTTTACCGAAGCTGCTCTGCCTGCCCTGCATCCTCCGGGAGGTGGGCTGGGGCTTCTGTGCGCTGACAGAAAGGGGAATGTGGTAAGATCCGTGGCCTGTCTTCTCGGCCCAGAGAGAGGAATGGGCTCATGCCTTGGGCAGGGGTCTTTGGAGGCCCACGGAGCCTCCGCTGCTCTGCCTGGGAAAGGGGGGCACCAGCTCCTCCTCCCCCCGCCCGTCTCCTGTATCTGCAGTTCATCACTGTGCCTGCCAGTATGACCGTCGGCGCGCAGCTGCTTCTCCGGAGTAGTCTCGCGTTTGGGGGTGAGCTGCCTCGGCTCACCCCGCGAATTATACCCCGGCCCACGCCTGGCTGAGCCCCGTCCCGGTCCGTGTCTCCCCCAGGCACGCGGGTCTATGTCAGGCTGGACCCCGTGTTCCGGGGCCGCGTGTCCGGGCTGTGCGGGAACTTTGACGGGGACACGGAGAACGACTTCGCCAGCCAGCAGGGCATCGTGGAGCCCACGGCCGAGCTCTTCGGCGACTCCTGGCGGGTCAGCCCACTGTGCCCCGAGGTCAGCGGCGAGGACGCGGAGCACCCCTGCACGGTACGGCCCTGCCCGGGACCTGCCCCCCCCCCCGGCCTTCCGCCCCGGCAGTGCCTCCCCAGTCATGCGGGGAGTTTGGGGCTGTCAGTGGCTGCCTGAGGGCCGTTGGCTACCCACAGGATCAGGGTGAGATGCCCGAGTGCCCCCCGGCTGGGAATGGGGCGGGAGGGCACCTCAGCATGCCCCACGGCGGCTGTTTGGCCGCTGGGCGCTGGGCTGCAGGGGACGTGGCCCTCGACCCAGGGCAGCCTGGGGGTTCCTTGCATGCCCCTCCTCGCCCCCCAGGTGAACTCGCACCGTGTGACGTGGGCCCGGAAGCGCTGCGGGGTCCTGCTGAAGGAGCTCTTCGCCCCCTGCCACGTGGAGCTGGCCTGCCAGCAGTTCTACGACTGGTGTGTCTTCGACGCCTGTGGGTAGGTGCCTGCGTGGGGCCCGGCCGGCCTGCGCCGGATCTGGCCAGCGGGGGTGGGGGGCAAGGGCCGTGCCCCCCAAGCGCCCTTCCCAGCCTCCCGCTCCCATCCGCCCCCAGCCGAGCTTCTGCGCCATCGTCCCCGCTCTTGCCGCGCGTCCCCTCGGTGTCCCTTTCCGGTCACACGAAGGCCTGGGTAATCACGGAAAAATGGGGAGGAAATGGGAAAAACAGAAAAACCTTCCCCCTTTCCTGTTTTTCCTTTGGAAACATTTGGGAGAAGAGCGTTTTCTCCATCTCTCCTCTTCTGCCCGAGGTCCACCCGTCCGCGTCTCTCCCGCCCCGTTCTGCGTCTGACCCCGCTTTCCCGTCCGCAGGTGCGACTCGGGAGGAGACTGCGAGTGCCTCTGCACGGCCATCGCCGCCTACGCGGAGGAGTGCAGCCAGCGGGGGGTGTCCGTGCGCTGGAGGAGCCAGGATCTGTGCCGTAAGCCGCCCGCTCTTGCGCCCTCCTGGGCCTCCGCAGCAGGCCGAGGGCAGTGGCAGACGAGACCCCTCTGGGGCCGGGCTGGGCCGGGGGGGCCCCGCGGGGGGCCAGCCGCAGTTCAACAGCCCCGTGTTCGAACGGGGCCGGCGGGGTGCGCTCCCACGGCCGCCCCGGTCCGGGCCCCCGCCGACCGCTGCCCATCTCTGCCCGCGCAGCCATGCAGTGCGACCACGGGCTGGAGTACGACCCCTGCGGGCCGGCCTGCCCCCCGACCTGCGCGAACCTGGGCCTGGCGCCAGCCGAGCACTGCCAGAGCCTCCCCTGCGTGGAGGGCTGCTTCTGCCCGGGGGGGCGAGTGCTGCATGGTAAGGCCCCCCTGGGACGGGGGGGGGTGTGGGGGTGGAGGAAGCGCGCCGAGCCGGGGAGTGCACAAAAGGAAATCTGGCCGTGGAGAGGCGGAGGGGAAGCCCAGACCCAGCTGGAGGCCTGGTTCGCACCCAGCACGCGCCCCGGTGGCTCGGGGAAAGCCGGCTTGTCGGCGCGAGGCTCGAACGCAGCCCCACGAACCAACCCACCGCCGCTCATTTGCAGAAAGACCCCGGCTTGTGCGGTGCAAGCCCGGCGGGCTGTCGCGACGTCTGCATGGAGACCGGCGGCTCCCCCGCTGCGTGCGTTTTGCTGCCTGGCGAGACCGGCCCGAAATGGGAAAGGCTCCGAAGGCTGGCAAAACGCAGGAGAAGCAGGATGAAAGCAGGGGCAGCCGGCCGGTCGCTCGTTGGCAAAACGATCCCTGCTCAGGGCAGACCGAGCCCGGTGATCGGCGCCTGAAGCTCGGCCTCGCATGTGAACACGGCCCGAGCCGGTCAGCCCAGGGCGGCCACACGCGACGCCTCCTCCACCCCCTTTGCGTACGCGGCTCCCACTTGGGGCCTGTCGTGCTGCGCGGTTCTGGCAAGCCAGGACCACGCGGCAGTCGGGCCAGCACGGCTGAATCCAGAGCAGCCCCCGGGTTCTTCCAGGGTTGCTTAAGCCGTGCCAGTCCCTGCTCGACGGGGTCCCAGCACCTCGCTGCAAGCGGCTGCGCTGGGACCCAGCGATCCGGGTTCTAGCCTCCACTAGCCACGAGCCCCCTGGGGACTTGGGGCCAGTCGCGGGCGCTCGGCCTGGCCTGCCTCGCAGGGTTGTTGTGAAGATATGCTTGAGAGGAGGAGGAGAATGACGTATGCTGCCTTGAGCAAGACTGTCAATGTCATTCGGAATCGATGAAGTCGCATCCGTGGCGCCTTGGCTCGTCGTGGGTTGACTGACCCGTGGCAGCCAGTGCCGTCTCTTGCAATGCAAAGCTCACACCCCATTGCCCCAGTGGGGAGTGGGGGGCTGCACCGGTTCCGGCGTGTCTGGCCCACTGGAAGTCCTTATGGGGTGAAGGTTGGAAGGCTGCTGGCTTGCCTGGGGAGGCTAGGTGGGGGGCAGGCTTTGTCTTCCAGCCCTTTGGGCTCAGGCCTCAAGGAGCAGGCCCGGGTGGGCAGCGTGGCCACGAAGGGGGGTGTCTTGTGGACCCTCCCCGTGGCAGGCCAGGCGGGGCCGGAGGTCTGAGCAGAGGCCTGGCGCCCCCACGGGGCGGGGGGCGCGCTCGGCCGTGTGCAGGGAGCGCCACGCACGCCAGCTTGCCCTCCTCCCTTCCTTCCTTCCTTCCAGGGGGCCGCTGCATTGACCCCTCCAAGTGCCCCTGCGTCTGGGAGGGCACCGTGTTCCCGCTGGGCGCTGTGCTGGTGCAGGAGTGCCGGAACTGGTGAGTCCGGGAGGCTGAACGGGGGCAGGGGGCGCGTCTGCTGGGCCTGCCCAACATGGGAACCGGCTGCCTTCCCTGCCCCGGAGGAGGAGGAGGTGGAAGTGGGGGGAGAGGAGGGCTCATGCGCGCCGGGCTGGCCCCGATCCAAACCTTCCCCCCCGCCACTTCTTTCAAGCAGGGTGGGGGGGCTCTGCAAGCGGCTTGGGGCAGAGGCTCCCAGGGCGAGGGGGGGCATCCTGGGCACTTGCTGAGGGCCCGCGCCCGGCAGCCCAAGCGGCCCGTCGGCTCCCGTCTCTGCAGCCTCTTCGGCGCCGCAGCAGGCGCACGAGCTCCGTCCGGGAGGGGCTGGTGGCAAACACAGCGGTGGCGCAGGACCCGAGGGCGGCAGAGCGGCAGCCACCGTGCCGGCTCGCTCGTGGGCCGGGCCAGCAGGCGCAGGCAAGGAGCCGGCCGGAGGCCTCCGGGGCAGAGGACAGGTGCAGGGTCACAGAGGGCAGCAGAGCCTCCCCCCCTGCTGGCCCCCGAATGCGCCCGCCCCAGCCCCAGCCCAGCCCAGTCCAGCCCGCCCCCTCTGCTCTTTGGGCGATCTCTCGAGTATGGCCCCACCACCATGAGGACTAAAAGCTTGTGTTCCAAATTAAAGTAAGAGTCCCCGGGCAAGCCATGCGCTTGTGGACTGCACGAAGTCCCGGCCAGAGTGGTCTCCGCTGCGGGGAGTCGTCTAACCGGGGACCCCTTGGTGGGATCCCCCGAGGCAAAGGCCGAGAGCCGGGCCGGAACAGCCAAGATTCGCCGCCGAACTGCCCGCATGCGTGACCTGGGCCCCTTCCTCCGCAGCTCCTGCGAGGCGGGCCGCTGGCAATGCACCGTCCCACCGGAGCCGTGCGCGCCCCCGTCCCGCTGCGCCGAGGGGCAGTTCGCCTGCCACACGGGCGGGCGCTGCGTCCCCGGGGCCTGGGTGTGCGACAACGAGGACGACTGCGGGGACGGCTCGGACGAGGCCTGCGCCCTCGGCTGCGCCCCCCACCAGTACCGGTGCGCCAGCGGGCAGTGCGTGCCGTGGGGGCAGCGCTGCGACGGCGCCGCCGACTGCCTGGACCGCTCCGACGAGGCGGACTGCCCTGCGCCCGCCTGCGCCGCCCGCGAGTTCCGCTGCGCCAACGGCCGCTGCATCCCGCGCCAGCGCGTCTGCGACGGGGAGCTGGACTGCGGCTTCGCCGACCGCTCGGACGAGGCCGGTGAGCTGCGCAAGGGGAGGCAGCCGGCCCCCGGGAGGCGGGCCCCCGGAGCGTCCCGCTGGCCAGGGCAGCGGTGGGCTGGGGCGGGGTCCCCTCTCACGGCCGGGCAGGCGCTCGGGCTCCGGGTCCCCGAGGCGAGGCTGCGGGAGGGCCGTGCGCGGGGCGTCCTCGGCCCGTGTCCGGCGGTCGCCCAGTTGGGCCAGGGCCAGAATGCCGTGGGGACCGGGCCGGTCCAGGCCGGGTGCAGAGTGGCTTCCTCCGTAGGGACCATCCCGCCGAAGATCCCTTGGTGGAGGAAGTGGCGCCGGGGGCCCCCAAAGGGCCCGCCCAAGGGAGGCTCTGCCATGTGGCAGGTGGGGAAGCCGCTGATGTGCGGCCGGGGATATTCTGGATGGGAGAGGCAACGCGCAGAGACGGCATCCGGCCTGGGAGGCGGCTGCCAGGGCCTTCCGGCCGTCCGGATCCGGCCAAACGGTGCGTCTGTGTGGGAGAAAGCCCCAGAGCTCCGCTGGCAGCTGAGGGGGCCGCCTTCTCCCGCCACAGGCTGCGGGCCGCCCTGCGGGCCGAGCGAGTTCCAGTGCGCGGCCGGCCACTGCCTGCCTTACCTGCTCCGCTGCGACGGACGCGACGACTGCGGGGACTCCGGCGACGAGCTGCAGTGCGTGTGCCCCGGCGGGGAGTTCCAGTGCCCCGGCGGCCGGTGCCTCTCCAGAGCGCTGCTCTGCGACGGCAAGCGGGACTGCCCCACGGGGGCGGATGAGGCCTTCTGCCCAGGTGAGGGGGAGGTCCACGCGCTCTGGGCCTTGGCCCCGCGGAGCGGGGTCTCTGCGGCTGCTTCCTCGGGGGCAAGCGCGAAAGGGCACTGGATCAGGGCGCTCCTCCGGCCTGCCAGCCGCTCCGCTTCCGGGGGTGCTGCCTGAAGCGGCCCCCGGGGGGGAGGCGTCGCCCAGCCAGGGATCCGCTCAGGCCGGAGGGGCGCTTTCCCGCCGGGCCCAGAAAGCGCCCTGTGCAGGCCCGGCAGGGGAAGCGCCTCGTCCGGTCAGTCGGCCGCGGACTGGAAGCGGGGGCCTGTCCCTGCCCGCCGGAGGCGCCTGCAGAGGGAGTGGCCGGGGACCCGGCGTTGGGTGGAGGGTGGCCCCCCCTCCGCGCAGCCTAGCAGAAGCTGGCCCTGCTTACCCGCGAGTAGGAGCGCAGCGTGCTCGCTTCCGTTTGACCCACGAAGGGCAGCGCTACTTGGGCGGCAGCTGGGCAGCGCTGCCGAGGGGTCCAGCCCAGGTGTGGGGGGGGGGACTCGCCCTCTGGCCCCGGTGGAGGGTGGCCCCCGAGCGCTGGCCCGCGTTGGCGTCTGGCCCTCGCGGCGCAGGGAGTGCTCCCACCCCGCTCTCCGGCGGCGCCGGAGGCCCCCTTCCCGCCCTGCCCGCCGGCCCCGCCGGCTGCCCACGCTCTCCGCCGCCCCCTTGCAGGCCGCGTGACCTGTGCCCCGGGGCAGCTGCCCTGTCCGGACGGCACCTGCGTGAGCCGCACACGCGTGTGCGATGGCGTGCCGGACTGTGCCAACGGTGCCGACGAGGACCCGGCTCATTGCCTGCGGGCGCAGACCACTCCCTTGCCGGCCACCCTGCGCCCGCAGCCCCCCACGACCCCTCGGCTACCGGCCAACAGGACGCTGGGTAAGGGACCGCGTGGTACGGGGACTCCAGAGCTTCCTCCCTCTCCGCCGCCGCACCTTCCGCCGGAAGAGGCCCCACAGGTGCAGAGCCCTCCCCGAGGCTGAGCCGCCGACCAGAGTGGCCCTCCGCGGGCCCATCCTGGCCCCCTGGGGTCGCCATTGGGCCCCTCCCTGGCCCTGGCAGCCCCTCTTCCCCGGGGCCAGGCGTTCGGCAGTCGTCCGGCTTGTCTGGGGATACGTCCCCTCCTTCCCTACGGTTCTCGTGCTCCCCGAAGGGTTCCTGGGCCTCCATGAGAGCGTTGCACGGAAATGGGGCAGGGTTGGTGGCGTCTCGGCCCCCCACTCTTCGCCTTCTGGAACGTGCCTCTGAGCGCATCTCTGAAATCGAATTCAGCCCTGGTGTGAAAGAGGCTCGGCGCCCCCGCCACGTCACGGACCCCGCTCTCCGCAGGGAAGCGAGCTGGGGAAATCCAGAGGGCGGCTCGGAGAGTGCAAGGGACGGGGGTGGGGGCAGGTGGAGGGCGACTGTTCCAGGCCAGAGGAACGGGATGGCCGGAGGAGGGGGGAGAGGAGGCCGGCGTGCCCGCAGCGCTGAGCTGACCCCCCTCCCCGCAGCCCCCCCCTGCGGGCGCTACGAGTTCCACTGCCGCAGCGGGGAGTGCCAGCCGCGGGGCTGGGTGTGCGACGACGAGGCCGACTGCCTGGACGGCAGCGACGAGCTGCACTGCAACCGGACGTGCGGCCTGGACCAGTTCCCGTGCGCCCGCGGGGGCGAGTGCGTCCACTACAGCCGCCTGTGCGACGGCGCCCCCCACTGCCAGGACCAGTCGGACGAGAGCGTGGACACCTGCGGTGAGCGGTCCCTCCCCCCCAGAGCCACGTCTGGCGGGGGGCCCCCACGGTGTGCCAGCTCCTCTCCCGAGGACGGAAGCCTCCAGGGGAGCCGCGGCCCCCTCACCAGCTGGCAGGAGGTGGGCGGCGGGCGAGAGGCGGTGGGCAGCCAGCCCGGTTCGGCCGTGTCCCGGGCTCGGGCGAATGCCTTCCGCCTGTGGCTCCCTGAGGCCTACGGGGGGACGGGTGGCAAGATCGGGGAGGCGCAAGGGGCCCCAGGAGACGGCGCCCAGTGGGTGCGGCTGGCTGGACCTCCCTCCCAGTAGAACGAGGGGACGTTGTCTTAGCAAGGAGCTGCCGCCAGCGGCTCTCCCGGCTTGCCGAAGGAGGCTTGCCGGATTTTGTGGCCCGAGGCTTCCAGGAGCCCGGGGTTGGCGGTTTCGTAAGCGACAGAACAAGGGCAGGTCCTGCGGAAGGGCCCCGAATAAGGCGCCACCTGCCCTCGCCCCGTCCAGAAGCCGGAAGGCCTGCGGGCTGGGGTCAGACCCCAGCCGGCACCCTCGGGGGGCCGCAGTGCTGCGGAGCCGGCTGTGCCCACAGGGGCTCGGCCGAGATCCACAGGGAGCCTCCCCCTGCCCCCCAACAGGCTCCACGCAGATCCCGCCCTGCCCGGGCCACTTCAGCTGCAGCGACCGCGTGTGCATCAGCGTCTCGCGCGTGTGCGACGGCTCCCCGGACTGCCCCCAGGGGGAGGACGAGCTGGCCTGCGGTGAGCGGGGTGGGGGAGGGGCACAGAGCCGCCTGCCCAGCTGAGCGGGCCTGTGGAGACCCCGCCACGGGCCGCCCGGGGTCTGGGTGGGCAGAGGAGGGGTGGGAGCGCTGCACGGGGCCCTCCGAGTCCCAGCCGCTGGCGCAGGTTGCCCTGCCGCTTTTCCGAGGCCTCTCCCGTGTCTGGAGGGGGGCGCGGGAAGGTCGTGGAATGGCCAAGAGGGCCTGGGCCACTTCCAGCCCTCCCTCCCTCCCTCCCTCCCTCCCAGGTGCTTCACCTGCATCTGGCAGCCCGCCCCGCCTCGGGCATCTTTCCTCCGCCAAACGTGCCCCGGCTTTGGCGCAGCCCCAACGCGGGGGGGCAGCCCGCTCAGGTGGGCCGTGTGTGCGCCTGGACGGACCTGCCCGGAAGGCTGCGGGGCGGGCAAGGTAGTTGTGCGCTATTATGGGGGGCACCTCCACTCACAGCTGCGCCTCCCCCCCAGGAAGCGTTGTGGTTCCTCCCGGCATCCGGAACGAGACCGCGGGACTGTGCACGGAGTACTCCTGTGCGGACGGCAGCTGCATCACCTTCAGACAGGTGCGGCCGGGGCTGGTGGAGGCCCCCCTTCCCGTCATCCCCACCGTAAAAGCTGCCGGCCACTGTCCTCACCCTGCCCTTCCTCCCTCTCCTTCCCGTCTGCCCCCGCGGCCATTTGGCGAGGGCGCCCCCGGCCCTCCGGCCGTGCCTCCGGCCCTGGCTGGGACCGACGCGGCGCCCGCTTGCCTTGCAGGTGTGCAACGGCCTGGCCGACTGCCCGGACGGCACCGCGGCCTCGGGCTGGCTGCCCTCGGACGAGCGCGACTGCGGCCTGTGGAGCCCCTGGGCGCCCTGGAGCCGCTGCAGCCGCTCGTGCGGGACGGGCCTGCAGGTCCGGCGGAGGAGCTGCACCCGGCGTGCCGACGACGTGCTGCGCCACTGCCTGGGCGAGGAGACGCAGGCGCAGCAGTGCTTCCTGGTGGCCTGCCCAGGTGCGCCCGGGGGCGGGGGCCCCACCTGGTGGCCCGTGGGAAGAAGGGGGCCCGTGGCGGGCCCGGGCCGTGCTCCCAGGGGCTGCTTCCTCCGCCGGCTCCGGGGCACCTGGACCACCCCCACGCCCGCAGGCGATTCCCCCGGCCAGGGCCCCTGCCACAGCTGGAAGGCTGAGTCAGTGCAGGGCGCACGGTCCCGGAGCGAGCAGCCCCTCATTCAACGGCCGCCCATCACACAGACCGGAGAGCCGGACGGGGGGCCCGCTGGAACGGGGACTTGCCCAAGCGTTTTTCGGACCCCCGTTCTCTGCTCCAGCTGGACCCCCGTTTCGCAGGAGGGCAGACTGACGATGCGGAAGGGCCAGTCCCTTGCCCCCCTCGCCACTCCAGCTCACTCCCTCACTGCATCGCCACGCCTGCCCCCCCGGCCCCCCCCAGCCCCTCCGTGCGTGCTGCTCCTGCCCTCTCCTGGGCCAGCCGGGCAACCTCCCTGGGGGCCGGGGGGCCCGCTGGGTTTACCCGGGACCCACGTGGAGGGGGCTGGGGGCTGCCCCGCCGCAGCCCACCCTGGACACCTCCCAACAGCCGCCCTGCGAGGGAGGCGAGGCTGAGCTGGTGAGCACCCACGAGCCCCCAGGGGCCCCCAGCGCAGCGCAGCGCCCCGTCCCCCCAGCCGCCGCCTCCTCTCCCCGCAGTGGATGGCGAGTGGACGGAATGGGCCACGTGGTCGAACTGCACGCGGGACTGCCACGGGGTGGTGGTGCGCCGCCGGGAGTGCCGGCCCTCCCAGAACGGGGGGCGCCCCTGCACCGAGGCCGGCGAGGCCTCCGCCAGCGCCATGGAGATCCGTGAGTCGGCCCGGGGACGGGGACGGGGGGGGCTGGCGTGGCCGTTTCCCAGGGAAAGGCTGCCGCTTCAGGAAGAGACCCCCGGGGGGCCCTTCCTGGAACGGCTGGGATGGAGGGGGGGTGGGCCAGAAGGAGGGCATCGCCTCTCCGCCCTTGCGCTGGAAGCTCCCCCTGCCGTGACTGGAGCGCGAGGGGGGCAGCTCTGCCCTTCACAAGGGGGGGACTGCAAAGCGGGCCTGCAGGTGGGTGGGAGGGGGTGCCACGGAGGGGGCTGGCCCTCGGGGGCCCCGGAAGGCTCCCGGGACCCCACCTGCGGGTCCCGCCCCCGAAGCACGGGGGGGCAGCCCCACAGACGCCCGTCTGCTCCCGTCCCGCAGAGGCGTGTCAGCAGGAGGAGTGCGCCAACGCCTCCCGCTGCCCCGGGGAGCTGGTGAGCCGGAGGTGCGCGCCCTGCCCCGCGTCCTGCGCCGAACTCTCCAGCCGCACGAGGTGCAGGAGGGACCGGCCCTGCAGACCCGGTAAGGGGGCAAGCGCTGGCCTTTTCTCCCCCCCCCCGTGCTCCAGGGCTCCCTGGGCGGTGGACCCAGTGCCGGCACGGCGCAGCCGCGCCTGGGAAGACAGGGTGGCCGCTCTTGCGCCTGCCGGCCCGGGGAAGGCGCCTCTGCCAGGCAGCACCTTCCGCATCCCACGCCGCCCGAGCATCCAAGCCACACGACTCCGCTCTGCCCCCCGCACAGGCTGCTGGTGCCCTGAGGGGCTGGTCCTGGACGGTGGGCAGCGGTGCGTGCGCCCCCGCGAGTGCCCCTGCCAGGTGGAGGGCGCCCGCTACTGGCCGGGCCAGCTGGTGAAGGTCGCCTGCCGCATCTGCACCTGCCAGGACGGGCAGCTGAAGCGCTGCCGGCAGAACCCGGAGTGCACAGGTGGGCAGCCCCGGCCCTCCCCGCCCGCGTCCCCCGGGACCCCCCCCCAGCCCTGGGCGGGTCGCTGGGCGGCCGAGGACGGCCGGGCCACTCGCGCTCCCCTCTGCCTTTGTGCCCCCAGTGAACTGCGGCTGGTCGGCCTGGTCTCCCTGGGGGGACTGCCTGGGGCCCTGCGGGGTGCAGAGCATCCAGTGGTCCTTCCGCAGCCCCAACAACCCCAGCATGCACGGGAACGGGCGCCAGTGCCGCGGCATCTACCGCAAGGCCCGCAGGTGAGTCCGGCCGGCCCGGCTGCCGGCCTCTGCGGCTGGCTGGGCCCCGGCTGCACGGCCCCGAGCGGCCGGCGGAAGACGGGTGGAGAACCTCCGGAGGGGCGCTGGGGTGGCACGGGCATCGAGGGCGGGCACGTGGCGAGGCCGCTGGCTAGGCCCGGCAGGCCGAGTTCTGGCCCCGCTTGGCCAGGGAGCCCCCCCCCGGCCCCCGCGGCAGCTTTTGGCCAACACGCACGTTTCCTCCTCCTGTTGAGTCAAGCATGGAAATGTGTTTTTTGAAGCACATTTCCAACGTTCCGAATTTCTTCAAGAGGCCCGCTGTATCAGTGGAAGCGTCCGAGTGCGGTTTGCGGGCCCACTTCCCCCAAAGCTCCCCTGCTGGAAGGGGGCAGTTCCGCCTGACCTGCAAACACAGGCGAAATTCTCGGGCTCCCACGAAACGGACACATGCGGGGAGAGGGGGGCCGGGGGGGCCGGGAGCCGTGCGCATTGCCCTGCGCCGCCCCTGCGGGTGCCGCCCTGTGGGAGCCCAGGCCCAGCCTCCCTCTCCTCTGCGGCAGGTGCCAGACGGAGCCGTGCGAGGAGTGCGAGCAGCACGGCCGGGCCCACGCCATGGGCGACCGCTGGCGCTCAGGGCAGTGCCAGGTGTGCCAGTGCCTGCCCAACCTGGCGGTCCAGTGCTCCCAGTACTGCCCCTACAGCACGGTGCCCTGCCCCGAGGTGAGTGCAGCGCCCTCGCAGGCCGCGCGCGGGCCCCCAGCCAGCTGGCCGGCCGGCCCCCGCTGACGCCCCCCCTCTTTCCGGCAGGGCCGCATCCTGGTGGAGGGCCGAGGGGAGTCCTGCTGCTACTGCGCGGAGGCCGGTGAGTCCCGCCCGCCCCCCCACATGCTCTGCCCTCCCCCCCCCGCTTTGGGCCATCTGGGGATGCCTCGTTAACAGCCCCTGTTAAGGCTCCTTCCCGAGTTAGCTCCGTCCCGCCGGAATCTCAACAGAAGCTAACCCTGCTGCTGGAGCTTTAGTGCGTGTGGTGTTTTCAGTACTTTAATTTTACGTTTTGGCATTTTCGTCATCGTATTATTTTGGGGGGATTTTACTGCATTTTTGGAGGCTATGATTTCAAATCACGCGGCCAGTCTCTGCGATATGCAAGCTTATTGCTGCTGCTAGTTCCGTAGGGGAGGCGTTGCTTGTGCCGATTGTCCCGTCCTGGGCAGAACCAGGCAAGTTTTTTCCTCGGCCTGCGGAAGGGGCCACCCTCGCAAGGCGGGCGAGCAAAGGGCCCGTCCACAGGATGGGCTTGCCGGGGCTGCGGGCCCTTCTGCTGTCCATTAAGCCACCTCATTAATCGCATTAACCCATCAGCCCGCAGCTTTCAAATTTGTTGCCTGCGGGACAGACCGGCAGGTGGGAAGCAGCCGCAGCGGCGCATGCGCTCGGACAGGCTCGGCTCGTGGCCCTTCTTGCCCCACAGCTGCTCTTGGCCCTGGTCCAGCTTATGGTGCCCAGAGCTCAGCGGGGGCGCAGGGCCTCGGACCGAGGGGTTAGAGCCGGCCCCTGATGGTCGCCACCTGGCCTCCAGCGTTCTCCGGGGATCCCTGCCTCCCCCTGCCTGCACCCCTTTCCTCCCACCCCTGGTGGTCAGGTGGCCTTTCCGCAGTCCTTGCCGGCTTCTCAAAGGCCGGCTGGCCACCTCATCCCGAGCGACAGGAGCTTCAGGCCCAAAGAGGCTGCCCTCCTTAGGTTTTCCGTTCGGGGCGCGGGGGATCCTCCACAGAACGTGGCCGGAAGCCATCCAGCAGCCCGCTCTGACCCGGCTCCCGTTTCCCTGGCATGCAGGTGAGAACCGGACGGCAGCGCCCACCGTGCCGCCCGCCAGCCCCCCGGGACCCTCCGCGGCCGGCCCGGCAGCCTCCAGCACAGCATCGCCGCTCAGCACCTTCCCGCTGCCCCCCCTCGGGGGTGAGTCTCTGCGTCCCACCTCCCAGGCCTCCAGCAGCTCACTGCCCCACAGGAGGTTGGGCAGCCCGGTCCGAAGCTCCCCCTTTGCAGTCCGGCCTGCTTCCAAGCCCGGTTTTCTGAGGGGCTCCGATTCCAGCCGCTTTGGCAGGTTTCTGACTCCTCGAGGGGGCAAGACCTCGTGTGCCGTGCCCCAAGGAACGCCCCCTGGACCTGCCCGCTCCGTAAGATCTGAGTCAGAGGCCCTTCTGAGAGAACCACCCTCCAAGAGGTGGGGGCGACAGGTAGAGGGGGCCACGCAGCAGCTGGCCAGCCGCTGCGTGACCTGGAGGCTGCCCCACCGGTGCCCCCCCCGCCTGAGCCAGCCTCACGGCTCCTCTGATGCCCTCAGCCAAGCAGTTTGCAAAGCGATCCAATAATTACCAAAAGGGCTGCATCGCAGTGAGATCAGCTGGGCTTTTTTGCTCCGGATGGAACAAAAGCGATCAGACCGACGGGAGGTGAATTTAGATCAAGCCTTAGACGAAGATCCTGCCTCAAAGATTTATGTCCCGCTCTGGATGTAAAGGGGGCATTTGGTGGCGTGGAAAGGGGCCGCTTCCCTCATCAAGGGGGCGCGCGAGGCGGTGATGCGGCACGGTGCCGGGGCCGCCCTGACCGGCCTCTGTGCCCCCGGCAGACCCCTGCTACGGCCCCCTGGGCATCGCCGCGCTCCCGGACGCCAGCTTCAGCGCCTCCGCCCAGCAGCCGGAGAACCCGGCACACGCCGCTCGCCTTGGCCGCCTCCTGCCCGGCGCGGACCTGCAGGGCTGGGCCCCCCCAGCTGAAGTGTACCCCGAGCTGCTCTCCCGGCCCCCCTTCCTGCAAGTGGACCTGGGAGAGCCCAGGAACCTGACAGGTAGGAGCCCGCTCGGGAGGTGGGTCTTTGGGCAGGAGGAGGTGGCGGGCGAACGTTTCTGCTTTCCTGCCCCACATCCCGCCCCCCATGGCGGCCCCTGCACCCATGCAGCCCCAACCCCTGGGGCCTTCCAAATATGCCGGACCACAACTCCCATCATTCTCAGCCAGTATGGCCAGTTGTATCCACCAGAGTTTCTTTCTTTGCTCCCTCTCCGAAATGGAGGGCATTCTTTAAGCCCACCTTGTGGTCTTGCAGGCCACCAAACGGGGTGCGTGTGCGTGTCAGGAGCGGCTGTCTGCCCCAAAGGGGGCCCCCACCCCCATTAAAGCGCTGCGTGCAGCATGATCGGGCTCCCCTGCGGGCTTCCCGCTGCCCCCCAGGGCTGCCCGCCCCTACGACCCGCGAGCAAAACGGCGAGGCCGGGGGACGTGGCACGAAAACACTCCTGCGTGGGCGTTGGGCCGTGGCGTGGCAGGCCAGCTCCGTGTGGCGCCTCTGCAGGCCGGGAGCCGCTCGGGGCCCGTCGTGCGAGGCCCATCGTGCTGTCTCCCCGCAGGGGTGGTGGTGCAGGGGGCCGGCTCCTCCGACGCCTACGTGAGCAGCTTCCTCCTGCGCTTCAGCCTGGACGGCGTGGCGTGGCTTGACTACCGAGAGGTCCCCTCGGCGGGCGCCATGCCAGTTCCAAAGGTGCGGGTCCCGCGTGGCTGGGGTGGGGTGGAGGGGGCAGCTGGGCTGCCGGGGGGAAGAGCACCCCCTGGAGGGGTGGGGACGAAGCCGTGCTGACGCGGCACACGCGTCTGCGGCCGCTGGGCCTGCGGATGCGATGGGGGCAGAGCCCTGGCTGGGCACGCAGGAGGTGGCAGGATCGGACCAGAGCCGGCTGGCCCAGGGGATCCCCCCAGCGCCCACGTGGCCCTTGGCCTCGTCCCACGCGCCTTCCCGTCAGGCCGCCAGCTGGTGTGGGGCAGGAGGGCCCGTCCTGGGGCCACCGCCGTGGGGCAGCCTCCCGTGAACAGGCACGTTCGGGGTCTGGACCTGGCGCTTGCCCAGCTCTGAGCTCTGCCTGTCCGAGGGCTTGGCCTCCCCTCCTCAGACCACAGCCCCCCCCCGCCCCCCCAGCTCTTCCAGGGGAACTCCGACGACTCGGCCCCCGCGATCCGGACATTCCAGCACATGGTCCGAGCCCGGCACGTCCGTGTCCTGCCCCGCGACTTCCACAACGGGATCTTCCTGCGCGTGGAAATGCTGGGGTGCGGGAAAGGTAGGCCGGGGGGTTTGGAGCAGGAGGGGGGGCCCTGCAGAGCGCGGGGAAGGCCTTCCGCTTCCGAGCCCGGGGGCTGCTCGCCGCAGTCGCCCGTCCGTGGGGAGCAGGGGCCGGGTCGAAGGACACGGGCAGCCCTCACGCCTGCGCCCGGTCTCCTCTTTGCTTCCTCCCTTCCAACCTTCTCCGCTGCCTCTCAGTGTCGCCGGGGGCTGCAAGGCCAACCGCCCCCCCCGGGCTGGAGGCCGTGCCGGGCCGGCGAGTTCCAGTGCCGCAACGGGCGCTGCGTCCCGGCCGGGCCCAGCGGCGCCGTCTGCAATGGGTTGGATGACTGCGGGGACTTCTCGGACGAGCTGCGCTGCGGTGAGGGGCGGGGGCCCCGCCTGGGTGGGGGGGTGAGGCCGGGGGGCCCCCTCTGGCTGGGATGGCCACGCAGCCCAGGTGCTCGGGCTCCGTGGCAGTGAGGTCTAATGGCTGGAGTGCGGGACGAGGCCTGGGGAGGGCCAGGTTCGAGCCCTGCTCGGTGAGGGAGCTCCCCAGGGCTCGGGGCCGGGCCGCGTATGGTGGTCCGCCCCACTGCCGAGGGTGGCCGTGCGGCCGGCGCCTTGACCCCACGGGCTGCCCCAGCCCTAACCCTAGCCGGAGCCCCAGTCTGGGGGGAGCGCCTTTTGCCGGCCCCCGCCAGCCGGCTCCCTCCTGACCGCCTGCGTCCCGTGGCAGGCGTCGCCCCCTCCCTGGAGCCCTCGGCGCGCCTGGTGTGCCCGCCCGGCCAGTTCCGCTGCGCCTGGTCCGGCGTCTGCCTCGAGGCGTCGCAGCGATGCGATGGGGTGCCCGACTGCGCCGACGCCACCGATGAGGCCGGCTGCCCGCCTGCGAGCCGGGTGCCCCCCACCAGCACGGTCAGGTAGGAGCCGCGAGAGAAAATGCCCCCGTTCCTAGGCAGACATTCCCAGAAAACCAGCTACTGAGCTCTGTGCTCGGCAGGCGCCAGCTGCATGGTTTTGCCTCCCTTATCCATGAGGACTAGAGTCTTGGTTTTTAAGCCAGAGCTTTTTCGGAATCCCAGCTTTTCTCAGGGGCCGATCTCATGTGCATTATGGGACTCAAGCCCTTGCGGATCCATCTTCCACAGCAACTCCCTACCATTTCTTGGCGCATTTTATTTCAGAAAGATAGGGAGCATGCGGGGAACCTCTGCCCGTGGGCAGGAGTCCCTCTGTCTTGAGACAGGAGTTCCCACTGTGCGCTCAAGATCAAGAGGGACCGTCCCCTGGGGCCCCCTCCCTCTCCCCGGTCCTTGGGGCAGCCTGCTAACTGAGTCCCTTGCGATGCTTCCTGCAGCTCACGGACATGGGAGACGCATCCGCCGGGACCTTCCGTGGCCCGCCCAGCCCAGGTGAGAGGACGGCCCTGGCAGACCAGCGGCGGCCCACGTGGCTGCGGAGGGAGCGGGGTGGCTGGAATGGTGTGCAGGGGGTGGGCAGGGACCCCTGGGAGCTCCCCGGAGGCAGCAGGCTGTGGAGGCAGAGGGGGAAGGCAGCGCCACGGGGCCGGTCCACAGACACCAGACAATGTCCTGGGCCTGCGGCCACGCAGAGCAGCCTCCCCCGGCCGGTGCCCTCCAGGCGCCTGGGGTTCAATGCCCATCATTCCCAGCCAACAGGGCCATTTCGGCCCGTTTCCCAGCGGGGCTTCACTGTCTCTGTGCTTTGCCCGGCTTGGTTTGGCTTCAGTCCCGCTGATGCTCGGGCTGCGAGTGTCACGTTTTTAAATTTAGCATCCCGGCGGCTTGCTGAGTGAGCCTCAAGCAGGCAGCTCAATGAAAGGTAAGCGCGGTCCGTTTCTCTCACTCCACCTGTCCAGGTGTCCCCAAGCGGATGGCCGTTTCCCGAGGGTTTCACTCCCACCCCGCCAGGTACGACGCGGCTCCCTCCACCCTGCCCGAATCGCCAAGGGGGCTCCCCCAGCCCCTGCCAGGTGGACCGTGGGCAGCCCCCGTTCTTTGAGGGGCTTCCCCCGCTTTGCTGCGCCCACCGTGGCTCGGGGGGAGCTGGGGGCCTGAAGCGGCCTACCTCAGAGGGCTGTTGTAGCAGCTGCCGGGCTGTGCCCCTGAAGCGCTTTGTGCTCGGTCTCCGCGTGTCCCTGGGGGCACGCAGGGGGAGCGGCAGCCCCCTTCATGCTCTGGGGGGCTCTCTCTCCCGCAGGGTCCTGCAGCGCCCCCCTGGGCCTGGAGGACGGGCGGATCCCCTCCCCGCAGCTGAGCGCCTCCTCTTCCCGGGACGGGAGCCCCCCCGACGCCGGCCGTCTCAACATGGAGCCCAACCTGTAAGCGGTGGGGGCACGGAAGATCAAAGGGGGCCGGGGGGGAGAGTGCCGGGGGGGCACGCCAGGGGGGCACGCCGGGGGCGCCCTCCACCACCAGCTCCTCCGTCCAGCGGCAGGGGGACGGTGACTCTCAGAAGGGGAGTGGGAATGAGCAGCAGCCACGAGGCCCCCACGGGGGGTCGCTGGCCACGGGAAGCGGGTGGTCACCGGGGGGCCCACGAGGCTGGACGCGGACCCCCGGAGGGGCTCGTTCGGTCCTGGGCCGAGGGCGCTGCACCCCCCGTGTCGGGCGATCACACCCGCGAACACCCTCATGCTTGCCCAGGGGGGGCCGTAGGGATGGGAGGGGGGCACGGGGGAGCGCCGCCTCCCACCCACCGTTCCTGGGGCTCCTCGCGGCTGTCTGGGAATGAAAGCAGCCAGGCGCATATCCCATGTGCCCCAGGAGCGTCCGGGCCCCGCGTGTGACGGCGCCTGGTGCGCTCCCTCCGTTCCCAGGCAGGACATGGCGCCCGGGTGGAGCCCGCGCGAGGCCGACCCCAGACCGTACTTCCAGGTGGACTTCCTGCAGCCCACTTTCGTCACCGCCGTGGCCACCCAGGGTGGGGGCCGCGCCCGGGGCTACGTCTCCCACTACCGGCTGCTCCACAGCAGCGACGGGATCCACTTCTGGAATTACTCCCGGGCCGGATACACCCCCGCAGCAGCCCAGGTACTGCTGCAGGGGGGCTCACGGACACGCCGCCGCCCCCCGCCATGCCCACTCCCCGATGCCCCGGGGCCTCACCGCAGTCCCCACGGGAGGGGGGTGTTCCTGGGCCAAAATGTGGGGAGCCGCGGCGGATTGAGGTGCGAGGGTTCCCGCCGGCTCTGTCCTGCAGCAGGGGAAAGGCTGCCGCTGTCAGCGAGAAGCATCCCCCCGCGCCCCCCGCGGATGCCGGGTCCGTCCCTGTCCCTGCCGACGGCCAGAAACGATCCCAGGCTGGGTCCGCCCGGCCCTGCTCCCCCCGCAGGGAGTTGCACGGTGGGAGCACCGGCCTCGCTCAGCCGGCTTGCTTCTTTGCCCTGGCGGCAACAGCCGGGCTGAGGAATCGGCCTCGCCGGCCCGCCGTGCTGTCCCGAGCCCGAGGCGGCCTGCTTTCCACCAGCCCTTTGGCTGGCCTCGTCGCTGCAGCCCGGCGTCCTGAGCCCCCCGCCCCCCCAGGCTTCAGAGTCAGGGTCTGAAATTTCCAGCTCATAAGGCCGTCCTGGGGCGGGGGGCGAGCCCTGCCGCCGGGGCTTCGGCCTGCTTGCTTTTCACCCCCCCGCCCCCCGTCAGGTTCGTGCCTCAGAGCCTTGCTTCCGGGCGCTCTGCTTCCAAGGGGCCGTGACAGGCGCCCCCCGCCCCACGGCTCTTCCGCCTCTCACGCCCCTCCCCACAGGTCCTGGAGGGCAACTCCGACAGCAGCACCCCCGTGCGGCAGGCGCTGAGCCCGGCCATCCTGGCCCGTGTCCTGCGCCTCGTGCCCACCCGGTTCCGCGGGCGCCTGGCCCTGCGCATGGAGGCCTTCGGCTGCCCCTGGAGTGAGTGGGGCCGGGCTGCGGTTGGGGGCAGTGGGGCGGTCCCAGGGGGCCGGACTCGGTCGCGGGGCCGTCTGCCTGGGGCTCGCGCGGCTCCTGTGGCTGTTCCCTCCTCCCTGCCCGGGAAGTCTGGGAAGGGGTGGGGGGCTGCAGCAGGGGCAGCCCCCCCATGTGGCCAAGGCTGGAGGCCAGACGCTACTTTCCTGCTGACTGATGCCCGTTCCTGTCCCATGCAGAGAGGGAGCCCGCAGCGGGCGTGAGGACCGCCCCCACCTGGGTCCCAGGAATGGCCGGCACCGCGCTCTCCCACACGTGGGCGGCATCTCCTCCACGGACCTCCCCGGGGACACGGGCGCCCCCGCCTCCTGTAGTGGCGACTGTGAAGCCGGCTGCCACGCAGGCTCCCGGGACCGGCTCTCCAGCAGGCCCTGGCGTCAGCCCCTCCATGCTGCCTCCAGCAGCCACCCGGCCTCCGGGCTCGTCCCCAGCGACCCGGGGCTCCTCCTGGCCCACCTCTCGGCAGGTGGCTCCTCTGGGACCAGGCCGGGTGACGGGGGCTCCCGGCATCACAGGGCTGCCTGCGGCCCGCACCCTCCCCGGCCCGAGACCCTCCCTCGCAGGTAAGCTGGGGCACCCCACGGACAGCGCCCGGCCCAAACCTGGCTCCCCGCCTGGGCCAGGACAGGCCGTCTGTGCAGCCGGTCCGGGGTCCCACCAGCACCCCGTTCCTCTCCGACAGCGTCGCCGCACGCCCCCAGCCCTGGGCTGCCCCGGACGCTCTGCACGCGGGGCCAGTTCACCTGCGAGCTGCTCGGCTGCGTCGAGGCGGCCTTCGTCTGCGACGGCCAGGAGGACTGCCTGGACGGCTCCGACGAGACGCACTGCGGTGAGCCCCCCCAGCCGGGGGTCTTTCCCCCAGGGCAGGACGCCCCCTTCATCCGCGGCCCCCAGGCCGGCCCGTCCGGCTCCCGGCGAGTCCCCTCCCCGCTCCACGCTGTCAGCGTCCCTGCAGGCCTGAAGCCGGCCACGTTGTCCTCTTCGCAGGGCGCCCGACGGCTCCCGGGGTCCCCACTCCGGCGCCCCTGCCCCCCCTGGGCCCCCCCAGCGCCTGCTCCTCCAAGCAGTTCTCCTGCGGCAGCGGCGAGTGCCTGGCGCCCGAGCGGCGATGCGACCTCCACCCCGACTGCCAGGACGGGTCGGACGAGGCCAGCTGCGGTGCGTGGCCTGGCGTGGCGTGGGGGGGGGGGAGGCGGGGGGAAGTGAATTGCGTATTTCGGTCAGCTGTGCGCTTGGCACAAGGTGTGCGGGCAGGATTTGGCCCTGGCGATGGGGCCCCGCTTCAGACCAAGGGCCTTTTCTGCGGTGGCCCCCGAATCGTGGAACCTCTTCCCGAGAGAGCTCTGCGGGCGCCAAGCGAAGAGCTTTTGGCTCTCCCAGGCCCTTTAAATCTTGTTTTCCGCCAGGGCTGTGTCGCATCGCTGCGCTTTGCATTTAGCTGCTTCCATGTTTCTCTCTCCTTTTAAGACTACACAAAACGCCCATTTGGGCTTTAAAACTTTTTAAAGAGCAATTGATGCAGCCTGGTTCCTCTTGTGCTCCTTGCGGTGAGAGCCTTGCCGCCGGGGTCTGGGGTTGCCTGCGGTCGCATCCTGCCCTAACCCGCACCTCGCCTCGTCCGCAGTGGACTGCATCCTGTCCCCCTGGAGCGCATGGAGCGCCTGCAGCCGGTCGTGCGGGCTGGGGGTGACCTTCCGGCGCCGGGACGAGCTGCGCAGTGCCCTGCCGGGGGGCCGCTGCGAGCGCGACGAGTTCGACAGCCGCTCCTGCTTCCTGCGGGCCTGCCCAGGTAGGCTCGTCCGGCGGCTGCTGCGAGCGCATGGGGGCCCCAGGCCCCTCACAGGCCTGGGGGGCCCTGCACACGCGCCCAAGACCCAGGAAACGTGAACTTGCCACGTCTCCGGGTGGGTGGGGGGCACGTTCGGAAAGGCTCGGAAAACCGGGTTCCTCCGGCAAATGGAAGGGGGGGGGTCTCCTTCAGGAGCAGCGATCCCGGCAGGGCAGTTGTGGGAGGGGGCCCACGCAGGAAGAGGGGTGGTCTGCCATGAAGTGGGGGGCTGAAGGACCACAGACCCCACCATGTTTCAGCTCCGAGCCGTGGCTGGCAGCAGCTAAGCCTCGGGCGGGGGAGCTGCTTGGCCTTTGGGGGCAGAGAAACAAACTCGGAAGAGCAGGAAAGCCCCCACAGCGGGGAGGACGGGGATGGGGGGGTGGCCTGAGGGGGCAGTTTTGCACTCAGGGGTAAAGAGCGGGGGGCTCTTTCCTGGTGTGCCGGCTGAGCAGGGGGCAGGAGGGGACCCCCGAGCCGTGCCGCGATCCTCGCCCCGTGCCCGCGGGAGGCAAGGGCCCAGCCGTGTTCTCTCTGCGCAGTGAGCGGCGCCTGGGCCGGCTGGGGCGAATGGTCCGACTGCGACGCCGAGTGCCGGGGGGGCGTCCGGAGCCGCGCCCGGGCCTGCGCCGACCCCCCGCCCAAGAACGGAGGGCAGCCCTGCCCCGGGGACGCCGTGCAGACGGAGCCCTGCAACCAGCAGCCCTGCGGAGACGCCCGCGGTGGGTGGCCCGGCGTGACCGGCTGGGGGCTCCCTAAACGGGCCCGCGCCCTCGCCCACCCCGGCCCCGCCAGGCGCTGACCCCTCCCCTGTCTGCGCTCCAGACTGCGGCCCGGACATGGTGTACGTGCAGGCGGAGCACTGCCAGCGGGGGCTGGTGGCGCCGTGCCCCCAGGCCTGCCAGCAGCTGAGCGCCAGGGCGAGCTGCCCAAGCAGCTGCGTCGAGGGTGAGCACCCGGCCGGGGGGCGAGCGGGACCCCGGGGGGCCGCCGTGGGGCAGTGCCCAGGCCTTGGACCGAAGGCTGGGGGCCGCCGCGGGCAGGTCCCCGCTCGGCCGTGGCCGCTACGGGCTGACTTGGGGCCAGCCGCTGATTCCCGGCCTGGCCCGCCTCACAGGGTTGCTGTGAGAAGAGAGGGAGCAGCGGGGGCTGTGTGAACCGCCCTGGGCTCCTCACGGCAGGAAGAAGGCTGGGTGGAAATGGAGCCCAATAATGACATTCCCGGGGGGGGGGTCCTCCGCGCTCCGCCAGCCGCCCCTGCCCAGGGGGCTCCGGGTGGAGGGAGCGGCCTCCTGCCTGTCCCGACACCGGCCCTTCTGCAGCTGGCCGGGCTGCTCTGGGCAGTGGCACTCAGGACTCCGGTGTGCCGGGACTTCCGGGAGTGCCCCCCCCCAGCCAGACCAGGCTGCAGGGCCCCCTCCCCTTGGCGTGTGCCGGGCCTCCCTGGGCAGGGGCGACGGGACGTGGCACTGCGGTGGAGAAGCCCGCAGCAGGAAGCTACGGGGCGCCTGTCCGGCCCGGCCCGGCCCCGAGAGGGCCCCCCGAGGCCCCCACTGATGGCGCGCCCCGCAGGCTGCCGCTGCCCGCCGGGGCTCTTCCTGCAGGATGGGGGCTGCGTCAACGTCAGCCAGTGCCGCTGCTTCTTCGAGCGCGAGTGGCGCCTCCCCGGGGAGATGTTCCTGCGCGACAACTGCAGCCAGTGGTGAGCCCCCCCCCATGCGAGCCCCCCTGTCCCCCACCTTTCGAGGAGCCGCTCCGCCCGCCCTGCCCCAGGCTTTCCGGGTCTTTCCAGATGGTGCTGGAGGGCAGGGAGACCCGAGCCGCGGGGTGGGCCCCACCACTGTTCAGTGCAGAGTGGGGACCCGCCGTTCCCCAGGGCCCCCCCACCCCACCGGCCACTGCAGCATCCAGGCTGGCCCCCAGCCGCTCAGGTCACACCCGGCAGAGGCCTCCCACCCGTGCACGCACTCGAAGCGGCATGACCTCTGGCTCCTTGGATGCCCGTGGGGGCCCCCCTGCGCCTGGCAAGACTGCCCCCCCCAGATCAGCCAGGCCTCCGTTTGACCACAGCAATCATCCGTCTCCCGTTCATCCCACCCACGGTTGGCTCTGGGGACAGATGCCCGCTGGGGGAAGCCAGGCCAGCCTTCCAGGAGGGCGGGGGCATGGGATGGCTGGGGGTCAGACTGGCATGTCCCCCTCCTGCAGGGAGAACTGACACCCCCGGTCCTGGGCAGCTGGGGTCTGTGCTCGTCCCCAGGGCCAGCGGGTGGCCGGGGGAGGGGGTTGCGTGGGCGTGGCAGCCCCCTTTACGAGCTGTGCTCCCCCCAGCGTCTGCTTGGACGGCGTGGTCACCTGCGACTCGGTGGCCTGCCCGGTGCCGTGCGGCTGGTCAGCCTGGTCCCCGTGGTCGCCCTGCGGCCGGAGCTGCGGGATCGGGATGCAGCAGAGGTTCAGGTAGGGGGCTGGGGGCGGAGGGTCCCCGGTTGCCCTGCCCGGAGGCGGCCTTCCAGCAACCCGCCGGCCGTCTGCAGCCCGCAGAACCCCCTTCCTCCCCTGGGAGGCCCAGAGTGGAGGCTGGCGGAAAAGGTTTCGTGTGGGTCGCCTGGAGCACCGCAGGCTGCATGCCGGTCAACCGTCTCCGTTCCCTTTTGCCCCCTCCCCCTCCCAAAAGCCCCGTCCGTCCGGAGGGTCCTCAAAGGGTCCGTTTGCCCCCTTGCAGATCCCCGTCCAACCCAGCGGCCGCCAACGGGGGCGCCCCATGCCAGGGGGATGCCCAGGAAGTGCGCGAGTGCCACGCGCCCTGCGTCGCAGGTAGGCACCCCGGGACACGGGGCGGAAGGGGGGGCGGCTGCCGGTCGGTCGGTCGGTTGGCGCCTCGCCCGGTGGCACCGGGTCCCCGCCGAGTGCCCCGGGGTGGGAGCCGGGCTGTGGGCCCACGGGCGCCTGGGAGCTGTTCCCTGGCAGGCCCCCCTCCCCGAGCGCCTCTCGCGCCCTCGCCCGCCATGACGGCAGCTGGGAGCCCCCCGGGAACCGGCGGCCCCTCAGGCGTCCTCTCTGCCCGCCAGAGGTGTCCCTCGTCTGGAGCAACTGGACGCCCTGGTCGCCCTGCTCTAAGACCTGCTTCTACGCCCCGGACGCGGTGGGGCTGCGGAAGCGCTTCCGGCACTGCGACGGCTCCGCGGGGGCCCCGGCCTGCGACGGGGAGACCGAGCAGCAGCAGCCCTGCGACACGCCCCCCTGCCCAGGTGCGAGCGGACGGCGGTGGGGCGCTTGGGCCGGGCCCCCTGGACCCCCGGCCGGCCGGCTGGCCGAGACTTTGCAAGGCGCTAGGGGGCTCCCTCGGGGCGGCGTGCGGGGGCCGTGTGAGGCTAGCGCGGAGTGCCAAAGAGTCCCGGCGGGCTCTTTGCTGAAGTACAGAAGCTCCTTAGGGAAACTGCTTGGTTGCCCCGGAATAACGGCGCCTCAGACGCCGTGCGAGGACGATGCGGGGGCCACGCAGCAGGCCCCCCGCCTCTCCGGCGTACCTGGGAGTGGAGCTGGGGCCTGGGGCGTCCCCCACACTGACCCGGCTCTGCTCTGCCCCCCCTCCCAGTGCAAGGCATCTGGGCCCCCTGGGCGGCCTGGACGGCGTGCTCGGCCCCGTGCGACTCCGGCGTCCAGACCCGCAACCGCTCCTGCTCCGACCCCGCCTACGGGGGGCCGGGCTGCTCTGGGCCGCTGCTCCAGGCCCGGGACTGCAACACGCAGCCCTGCGCAGGTACGGCTCGTGCCCCCGCGGCTGCACTGGGCCGCCCCCCCGCCCGGGGGGGGGGGGGGGGGGGGGGGGGGGGGGGGCACAGTGCTTCCTGCCCGAGGGCCCGCTGCGGGTGTGGGGGGCAGCCCCTCGCCTCTGGACGCGGCTTCTTCATCCTTCCCGCTGTGAGGGGGGTCCAGGGGAGCCACAGGGGTCCCAGCTGAGGCCCAGGGAAGGGGCCTTTAGCCCCTTTCTTCCCGCTGCTTTCCAGTCGAAGTTCTGCCTCCCACGGCCCCAGTTTCCGTGGGGCATGTGTGGTGGGGGGCACACGGGCCGATGGTGTGCTGAGCGCTCTTAAAAAGCCGCTTCTGCAGGTAGCTTTCTGCACATGCCCTGCGTCGTCTTCCACGGGCTGCCTCTGGACCGAACTCGAGGTTCAGACTCCGGCTGGGAAGCCTCAGCCTAAATCTGTCTTGCGGCAGAGCGCAGTGGGTGACCCCGGCCCCCACTCTCTCTCAGCCCGGCCCACCTCACAGGGGGGTTGTGAGGGCAGCGGGGGGGAGGCGCAGCGCATAAGGTTCCCCCCTGCAGGTCCCTAGAGAAAGGGGGCTATAAAGGGAGGGGCGACATGGGCAGGAATCCCCCCCGCTTGGCTTCACGTGATCGGCCCCTCGCCTCGGATCGCGCCCTCACGGCGAGCCCCCTCTCCCTCGCCCGCAGCGCTGTGCCCGGGGAACATGGTGTACCAGACCGCCGAGGAGTGCCGGCGCCGCGGGGGGGCCTGCCCGCGGCTCTGCCTGGACCGGGGCCCCGGCGTGGAGTGCGCCTCCCGCTGCCAGGACGGCTGCCGCTGCCCCGAGGGGCTCTTCCTGTGGGGTGAGGCCTGCGTGCCGCCCAGCCGCTGCCCCTGCCTCTCCGGGGGGGCCCTCCACCCGCCGGGCAGCACCGTCCCCCTGGATGCCTGCAACAACTGGTACGGGTGCTGGGCCCCGGCCTGGGGGGCGGGGGGCGTGGGGGATCTTCCGAGGTCTGGGCCCCTGGCCCCCTGCTCCAGAGCAGCCAGCTTGGGGCCTCCCACGCTAACCGGGGTGGAGGTCCCGGGCGGCAGCTCCGCTTGAAGCCCCCCAGCCCTCCTTGGGGGCTCCCTCTCCCCACCGGGGCTGTTCCCCAGAGAATCCTGGCCCATGCCGGCCCCAGCCCCCCTGGCCCCAGCCCTGCCCCCCCCCCCCCCCCCCTCGGCGGGACAGAGACGCTCGGAACGTCTCGCTCTTCCTTTGCAGCACCTGCACGGACGGGGAGATGGTCTGCGGCGCCCGGCCCTGCCCAGGTAACGGGCCACGAGGGCCTTCCTCCCGCTGGGCCAGCCCCCTCCCCAGCTGGAAGCAGCCCCAGGAGAGGAGACGTGGGGCTCCCCGCCGAGGGGCCCGTTTCCTGAGCTGGCGTTCCCGTGGGGGGAGCGAGGGTGGGTCGGACGTGCCAGCCCCCCCTAACCCTAACCCTCCCGGTCAGCCGAGCCTCCCTCGCAGGATCGTCGCCAGGAGCTGCGAGGTGCCGCGAGGAGGCGGGCAAGTGGGCGGGCACACGGCTGACTTCGGTGCCCCCCCGGCCTGCACAGGGGGCACATCCGTCTTCCCAGGGAGGGCTGCGAGGGGTTGGGGGGCTGATTCTGGGGAGCTCCTGAGCGTCTCCCGCCCCCCCTGCAGTGGACTGCTCCTGGGGCGCCTGGGGCACCTGGGGGCCCTGCAGCCGCTCCTGCAACGTGGGCACCCGGTGGCGCTCCCGCTCCCGCTCCGACCCCGCCGCCAGCGCCGGAGGAGAGCCGTGCCAGGGGGCCGACGTGGAGGTCGGATTCTGCAGCCTGCAGCCCTGCCCGGGTGAGCCAAGCGAAGCGGGGCGGGAGGACGTGGGGGCGGAGGAGGGCGCCCCCCGCTGCCCGGGCAGAAATGGAGCCTGGCCCCGCCTTGCCGCCGTTCCAGTTTCGGGGAGCTGGCTGCGGAAGGGTATCTCTGCGCATGCGCAGAGTGCCTTTCCCGCATTCCCGTCAGCCCGATTCACCCGCGAGATGAGGAGGGCTCAGCAGGGGTCTCCCTCCCGGAGCTCCCGGTTCAGGCCCTCGGGGGCTGAGTCTCCCCGCTGTCGCCCTTGGCCAGGTGCCGGCGCGGAGTGGGGGCCCTGGTCGGAGTGCTCGGTGCCGTGCGGGGGCGGCTACCGGAACCGCACGAGGGCCGGCGTGGCCGCCTTGCGCAGGACCGAGTTCGCCACGTGCCACCTGCACCCCTGCACGGGTGAGTCCCTCGCGCAGCCGGGCACGCGCCCCCTGCGGAGATCGGGCACTCCGCCGCTCCTCTGGCGCGTTTGCGCCACCCCGTGCAAGCGGAGACCGGGCGGCGCGGAGTCGCTGAGAGGCGGGAGCGGCAGCCCAGGAACGCACCGCAGCCGCGGGGGTGCATGGGAGGGTGGCGGGGGCGCACGGTGGCCGCACCAGACGGAGCCGCGCTGAGCTCTTGGGCCGCTCCGGCCGCACGGGGTCCGCCACGCCAGACCGCCCGCGGCCCCGAGGGGCAGGCCGCCTGGGGCAGTCGCCCACCCTCTTCTGCGTTGCCCTTTCGCCCAGGGGAGGTGCCCGGCGTGTGCCCGGCGGGGAAGGTGTGGCAGGAGTGCGCCACTCAGCCGGCCTCCTGTGCGGAGCTCAGCCTGGAGCCACGTGCGGACGGGGCCTGCCGGCCCGGCTGCTACTGCCCGCCGGGGGCCGTCCTGCTGGTGAGTGGGGCAAGCCGCACTCTTCTCGCCCCCCCCACCCTCTTGCCCCGACGGAGGCTCCAGCGGCACCGAGCGCACGGGCCTCGTCCGGAGGCTCCAAATCGGCCGGGCTGGGGGCTCCCCTCCTTCCCGGGTGTGGGTCACCTGCCGGGAGGGGGCGGGGAGCAGCGTGGGGGCCCCTTCCTCCCCCTGAGCTGGTGCCCCCCTCCTTGCCTGCAGGACAATCTCTGTGTGCCGAGAGAGGCCTGCCCCTGCGCCGCGGACGGGATGCTGTACGCCCCCGGAGAAGCCGTGCCCAGGGGCTGCGAGAACTGGTCAGTGCCACCTCTATCGCTGCCTCCGGGCACCCAGCGCGCTGCTTCCGTTCCCAGAGCGCAGCTGACCCGCCCCCTCCGGGCGCTTTCCCCCGCAGCTCCTGCGTTTCCGGCCAGGTGGGCAACTGCTCCCGTGCAGCCTGCGGAGACGGTGAGTCCGGCCCACGGCGCGGCCTTCCTGCTCCGAGGGAGCCCCCCGCAGAGGCACCGGGCCACGGCCTGCGGCCAGGGCACCCCTGCTGCGCGCGATGGCTGTTGTGGGCCAACTCCCGGGGGCACCAAGTCAGGAGGGGGAGGCTGCCGAAGCGGGGCAGCCCGCTGCGTGTGCCCAGAAAAGGTTCCATCCCCCGCAGCCTCCTGGGGCGCTTTGCGGGTCCCCTGGAGCACTCTGCTCCGGCTCTGGCCCTGGAACGTGCGTCCTTTTCCCGGCCTTGCCCCCCACCTTCTGCTCCATCCGGCCTGTGGGGCCTGGGTCTGTCCCCGGGAACCCCCGGGAGCCACCCCACCCCCGGCCAGGCCCCTTTGCCCGTTCCCCTTCCCGGTGGCTGCTTCCTCCTCCGGGGCTTTCCGGTGGTTCTGCCCTTGTGGCCCCCGAAAGGCTGGGGTGGCCGCAGGAGCCCGGACGGGCCCCCGGCGCTTCCCCGCCGGGCCCCGCGCGCTCAGCCTCCTGCTCCCCCTCGCCAGTGAACGGCCGCTGGGCGGAGTGGACGTCCTGGAGCGCGTGCTCGGCCTCCTGCGGATTGGGGCTGCAGAACCGGCACCACTTCTGCACGGAGCCACCTCCGTCCGGCCTGGGAGCGCCCTGCCTGGGGCCTGCTCACGAGGAGAGGCCCTGCCACCTGCAGCCGTGCGCCCGTGAGTGCCCCCGCCTCCGCCGTCGCCCGGCGGCCTGCCCGAGGGGCCCCTTTGACTGCCCCGCGCGCCAGCCCCTCCGGTCCCCCGGCTGGCGCGGCCCCGGCCCCCGCGAGGTGCCGGCTTGGGGGCACCGAACCGGGACCTGGCCGGGTCCCGTGGGGGGCCCCTCCCGGTGTGGGTCGTCCGGGGCGTGGAGGAACTGCCGTGCCGTGCCGGCCCCACAGCCGCTGCCCGTGGCGAGGCCTGGCGGGCCACTCGCGTGGGGTGTGGCGTCTATGGGGTGTGCGTGCAATGGGGGGGGGGCCTGGACCAGCGGCGTCCCCCAGGGGGGCTTCGGAGAGCTGGCGGGGGTCCTTCCCGCCGGAGACCCCGGGGGCCGCCGCGTGCCAAGCCGGCGGGCCAATTCCCCCCCTGTTGTGTTTTGCAGGGAGCGGGGGCTGGGGGGCCTGGAGCCCGTGGACCGGCTGCACCGTCAGCTGCGGGGGCGGCATGCGGAGCCGGACGCGGGCCTGCGACAGTCCTGCCCCGCAGGGGGGCGGGGACTACTGCGAGGGGCCCCCCACCCAGGTGGAGGCGTGCGGCCTGGACCCGTGTCCAGGTGGGTCCGAAGAGCACGCCGACCCCAAGCCTGGGGCTGGAAGCATCCCCTGGGGCGGGGGGCTCCCTCGGCTCCGGGGGGGGTTCTGCCCCCACCGTGCGCAGGCCTGGCGGACCCGGGTTCAGCTGCTCCCCGCGGGGCTTGGGCCGGTCTCCGATTCTCAGCTAGGCTACCTCGCAGGGTTGTTGGAGGACGAAGGCGCGGAGCGGAGGTGGATCCCGGGAGCCGCTCTGGCTTCCTTGTCGCCGGAAAGATGTCCAGATAAACGTTCGGTCAGAAGCACTAAAGCAAAAAATAAAAATAGAAAATCTGGTGCTTTTATGTGACTCCAGGGCGGAGGGCGATGTCATTTATTCTTTGCCTGGTGTGTTGGATTGCAATTCCCATGAGCCATTTTGACTGGGAAGGATGGGAGCTGTAGTCCAACCCATCAGGCTGGAGAAGTCGAACTGCTTACATGCCTGTTCCACCCTTTCTCCACCACATTTCCTGAGAGCGGCGCACTTCGGTCCTCTCAGCAATCCTGCAAGGTAGGCCCGGCTTGGAGCCGGTGGCTGGTCCGGCACTTCCGGGGGGCTTTCAGGGAGCAGCCCTGCCCCCTCCTGGGAAGGGGGAGTGGGGAGAGCCCTCCGACAAAGCCCATCTTCCCCGGAGGCCGGAAAAGGCTTGCGCTGGGCCGCTTTGGGGCAGGGCTGAATGGCAGCTCCTTCGTGGGGAGCCGGGGAGACGGTGGGTCGCGCTGCAGGGTGGGGGTCCGGCGGCGCCCCCCGCCCCTTCCCGCCCTCACCTGGTGCCCCTCTGCGCAGCTCCGAACTGCTCCGCCGTGGAGGGCTCCAGCTACAGCCGCTGCGGCCCCCCCTGCCCACGCACCTGCGACGACATCACGGTGAGGCTCGCCGGCGTGCGCCCCCCCCCCCCCCCCCGGCCCCACGGCCTCGGCCCGAGCCGGCCCTTCTTCCCAGCCCTGCGTTCTCCCTGGGGCAAAGCCTGCGAGGGATCCGAAGGACCTGCCCCTTTGTGGGCTCCCCAGAGAGACGGAGGAGGGCAGCCCCCCGCACGTGGACAGGAAAAGCACGCCCCTAGATTCAGGGGGGAACCCCACGACCCGCGCGTTCTTTTTGGCTCCTCAATCCCAGCCTCTGCAGCCAGAATAAATCCTGCCCGTTCAGCATTTCATTCTGCAGAATGTTTTCTGGGGCCCAGCCTTTTGAATCAGGGAAGGGGAAGGAAAGACTTGAGGGACGCTTCTGAGCTATCCCTTTGACAACCGTGAGGGCTAGCGACTTGCTTTGCAAGGAAAAGAAAAGAAAACGCTCATCTTCGATTTGCACATAGCGCTCAACGTGCTGTGTGGTGTCCGTGCGGCATTGTCTCCCGGCTGGCCAAGGTTGCCGGATGCCCACGAGGTTCCCACTCCCCTCCAGTCGGGCCGCCGGCAGCATGTGTGCCATCGGCCTCTGTGGCTGGAGCTCCATCCCAGGGTGCGCTGCTCCTGCCTGGGCGGCCTGCCCCTTCCTCAGTGGTCTGCACACGGAGACTGGATACCTAGAGTGGCTCCTGCAGTTGCCGTGCTTTCCCCCAGACTCTATGGTGGCCGTGTGGGAGCCGCATTCCTGACGAGGTGCAGCCCCTTGTTTCTCTCTCTGCTCCCACTGAAAGCAAACGTGCCGCAGGATAGGGCCCCCAGCGGGGCTCGGACAGCCCCCCGGTGGAGACGGCCCCGGCCCCGGGGCTCACGCCCTCCTCCTATCCTCCCCAGCACTGCCTGTGGACCTGTGAGCCGGGCTGCTACTGCCCCAGCGGGAGAGCCCTGGCCGGGAACGGCACGGTCTGCGTGGAGCTGCGCGCCTGCACCTGCCTGGACCTGCGCACCGGCCGCCGGCACCTGCCGGGGGAGCGCGTCTCGCTCCCCGACGGCTGCAACAGCTGGTGAGGCCAGTGGCGGGGGGGCGCGGGGGTCCCGGGGGCGCTGCGGGGCCCCGGCTGCTCCGGGCATCTCACGCCGCCTGCCTTTGCAGCACCTGCGTCCAGGGGAGGATGGCCTGCACCGACCAGCCGTGCGCCGGTGAGTCGGGGGGGGCGGCTGGCACCATGGGGGGGGGCGCAGGGCACTCCCACGACCAGCGGCCCTCCTCCCGGCGTGCTTGCTCTTTGCGGTGGGGACGGCCTTCCGCAAGTGGTGCCTTCCGGCTCCGCCGAGCTGAGCTGGGGATGCTGGGGGCTGTCGGTCAGCACGTCCGGAGGGCCCCCGTTTGGGGAAGGGGCCGCGGGAGGCAGGGCTCTGCAGGGAGGGGCGCCTTCCCTGCCTGCCTCCCGGTCTGCGGCCACTCACCCAGCGCCTCCTCCGCCCCGCAAGCTCAGGGGGGCCCTGCCCCCTCACCCACAGCAGGGCTCTGGAGTGCCCCCTCCCGCCCCCCCCACCTGCCCTGGGCCGGATGCCGAGCCTGCCTTGCGGGAGGGGCCCGGGAGCATGTGACCGACCTGGCTCTGCTCCAGTCCCAGGGGGCTGGTGTGACTGGGCGCCCTGGAGCCCCTGCGCCAGGACCTGTGGCAGCGAGACGGTCACCCGCTACCGGATCTGCGGCTGCCCCACGCCGGAGCACGGGGGGCCCGTGTGCGAGGGGGTGCAGGAGTTCCACGGCAGCAGCGGGGTGCAGATCCAGCGGGCGGAGTGCCCCACCGCCTCTTTCTGCCCAGGTACCCCGCCTCTGGGGCAAGGGACTGGGGGGGGGGGGCGCCCGGACGTCCCTGCTCCCCTGTTGGACTTCCGGGCAGGGCAAGGGGATGCCCAGCCCACACTGCACCAGGTGCAGCCAACCTCTGACGGAGGAGCGAAGCTGGGGGGGGGCGCCACGGCAGTGCCAGCCCCGGTTCACCCCCCCCGGCTGTTCTGCCCCTGCAGTGGACGGCGGCTGGAGCACCTGGAGCGCGTGGGCGCCCTGCGACGCCTGCGTGGGCAGCTCGGTGCGGAGCAGGGGCTGCACGAACCCCCCGGCCCGCTTTGGGGGCCTGCCCTGCCCGGGGGAGGCCCAGCAGAGCCGCCAGTGCCACGACGGACACACCGCCTGCGGAGGTGAGACGAGGCCGTGGGCACCTTGAGGCCTGCGGGCACCGCCTGCCGCGCGCTCCGGCCTGCGGCTCTCCGGGGGTGCTGGGCTGCTGGCTGCAGCACCCGACCCGGCCGTGCTGGGCACTGGCACCCAGCACACCCAGGAGCCCCGGCGGGCCGCTGGGGTGGGGGCCCCTGGCCTTGGGCCAGCTGGGGAGCAGGCGGGCTCCAAACCAACAACCCCTTGGAACCGCGCTTTCTCCAGCACTTAGTCTGGCGAGAATGGCTCCCGCATCTGACCTGGCAGCAAAGCCACGCCGGTTTTGCTGGGCAGTGTGAACTCGGCTGCTTGCTTCCCGCAAGCGCGACCTTCGGGGCGGGCCGGAGTCTGCTGCACGGCCACTGGCGTCCCCCGCGGAGGTCGCTTCTGCCCCGGAGGCCGAGCAGGTCTGGCTCGTGGACCGGCACGCCAGTCCCGTGCGACCAGCAGCCCAGGAGGTGGCGAGGGGCACGGGAAGGGGGAGGCCCTTGCCACCCCCCCGGCTCTGGGACAGAGGACGCTGCTCTGCCCTGGGTTGGCGCTGGCCCCCCCACTCCGCTTGGGACCCCTGCGGGGGACCCTGTCGCGGGGCGCAGCCTCCCCCCGCACGCAAGCAAATGCCTCCTCGGACGCGGCCTCCGCCTCCCATCAGGCACAACCGGGGAGGCGGGGCTTCCAGCCCAGACAGGGGCAGGGGCTTCCTGGCTCGGGAGGGGAGAGGCATGCCAGGGGCAAGACCCGGGGGGCGCCACGGCTCAGGCTGCACCCTCGCGTCTCCCCAGACTGCGGAGGAGGGCAGGTGGCGTTCCCCTGCGGCAAGGCCTGCCCACGCACCTGCGAGGACCTGCACCCGGACACGGCCTGCCTGGACGGCCCCCAGTGCCAGCTCGCCTGTGCCTGCCCGGAGGGGCAGCTGCTGCAGGACGGCGCCTGCCTCAGCCGGGCCGAGTGCCGCTGCAAGTACCGGAGCGACTCCCTGGGTGAGTGAGCGAGCGAGCGCGGCCCCGGTGGGCAGGCCCGGGGTCCTGGCTGCGTCCGTCCGGCAGGAGGGCCTCCGCCTCCCGGAGCGGCTCTTGCTGCCTCCCCATGGGGGTCCCGGCTGGCGCGATGGGCCAGCGATCGAGGGCTCTCTGCCCGCCCGCGTGGCCAGGGCAGTCCTCACGCCGGCTCGGCACGGTCCCCCCGCTTCCCTTCGGCTCTCCCCCTCGGCCTCGAAGCAGCCCTCGCTCAGTGTGTCTGCGGGGCTGGAGACGCATCCCAAGGAGCTCCCGGCCACCCGAGGCGACAGGGAGCGTCTGGGCACGGCAAAAGGCTGCGCCGGCGGGGCGGCAGAGCTCGGGGGGGGGGGGGCGCAGCTGGCGGCCCAGCAGAAGCCTCCTGTTTCTCCTGCAGGTGCCCCCGAAGGAGGGAATCTCTCTTCCTGGCCGGGGCTGCCCCGGTGGGAGTACGCCGAGCCGGGCGAGACGGTGCACGGGCCCTGCCAGAACTGGTGAGCCGGCCGGCCGGCGCGTGGGCACAGAGACCCCGGTGCTCCGTGGGAGGCTTCCCGTGGGGGAGACCCTGGAGGCCTGAGAAGCTGGAGGGAACTTGAGGCTGGGGGCTTCTGCCTTCTGCCCAATCCCAGGAGTGCTGGCAGCCATCAGGTGGGGGGGCAGGCCCAGGGGAGGGGCCCTGGGGCACCCCATGGGCGCAGGCTGCCCCCCCCCCCCGCTCTAAGGCCGTGCCTTTGGTCCAGGCTCCCTCTGCGCCTCGGCAGCGCCGGCCCCCTCCCCTGCATCGGGCGCACCCCGAAGGGCGGCCTGCCTTCTCCAAGACCCCCCTGGCCTCCCCGCTCCCTCAGGCCATGCCCTGGCCCCCCACCTTGCCCTCCCGCGCGTGCTGCCGGTGTGCAGAAAGCCTGTGCGGCCACGGGCGCATTCCCCGCCTCGGGTTCCCCCCGCAGCACGTGCGCGGACGGACTGCTGCAGTGCCGCGTGGACCCCGCCTGTCGCCTGGACGGCGGCTGGGGCGCCTGGGGGCCCTGGTCGCCCTGCACCCACAGCTGCGGGGAGGGGGCCCGCCTCCGCTTCCGGGAGTGCAGCCACCCGGCCCCACAGAACGGAGGCCGGGGCTGCGTGGGCCGCGTCGACCAGCAGCAGCGTTGCCACGGCCAGCCGGACTGCCCAGGTGAGGGGGGGGCTGCTGGGACGGGCCGACGGGGCAAGCGGAGTGTGGACTGGGGGGAGCAGCGCCCTGGTCTGGGGGTCCACGGGGCCGCTGGAGGGGGCCGGTGCCCCTGCCTGAGGCTGCGTCCTGTCCTGGGCTTTTGCCGGAGGCCTCGTCCTCACGGAGGAGTTCCTTCCAGCTAGAAAGCTGGCCTGGCATGGAAGAGGCGAGGGCTTTCGCCTTGAGGGGCTTGCTTTCTGCTTGCAAGGAGTCCAGGCTCCAAGGCAGGGCCATGGTGGGAGAGGGATCCCCCCGTTCTTGGAGTGCAGCGGTGCGCCCGTGCCAGGCTGCCCACGTGGAGCCAGTGAGGGGGCGTTTGCCCGCCGCTGGACGCGCCGCAGCCCTGAGGCTGCCCTGCCTGCTGGGCCAGGCCTTCGGCCCCTGAATGGCGTGCGGGGCAGGAAAGCAGGGGTGCCGCCCCGCCCGCTGCTCGAGTTCTCTCTCCGTCCCCCGCAGAGGAGGCGGCGTGGGAGGGCTGGTCTCCGTGGGCGCCCTGCAGCGTGTCCTGCGGTGGCGGCGAGCAGGTGCGCACCCGCCGGTGCCTGCGCCCGGGCTGCCGGGGGCTGGCCACGCAGAGCAAGACCTGCAACAGCCAGGTGTGCCTCGGTGAGTCGGCCGCCGGCCCCCAGCCCTCCGGGGGAGTCTTCGCGGGCCGGGAGGCCGCCAGCCCCAGGAACGTGGGATGCCGGGGCCACGGGCCCCATCAGGTCGGGTGACACACCCCGTCAGCCCCAGCCAGCCGGGTCAGGAGCCAGTTTGACTGGGGAAAGGGGGGGTTTCGTCCGGCACCTCTTGAGGGCCAAGGGGAGCTGAGTGGGGCTTGGCCTGAGCCCCCTGGACGGCCCCGCGGGCCCCGTGACCTGCACCCTAGGAGGCTGGGCGGCTGGTCCTGGGGCGGGGAGCTGCCCCTCCACTCGTCTGGGGGCGCAGGCTCTGGAGGGAGCCCCCTCCCGCTGCAGGAGCATGTCCTCCCCCCGGGTGGGCCGCTCCGTGCGCGGGGTGCCTGACGCCCGCCCTTGCCCCCGCAGAGGTGGGCTGCCCCGCCGGGCGGCTGTTCCGCGAGTGTCTGGCGGAGGAGGGCTGTCCGTACAGCTGCGCCCACCTCGCCCGCCGGGTGGAGTGCTTCTCGGACGGCTGCGAGGAGGGCTGCCACTGCCCGGTGGGCACCTTCCAGCACAACGGGACCTGCGTCCAGGTGGGTGCCCCGCCCCGCATTCCCCCCGGGACCTGAGCCCCGGCGTGCAGAGAGCTCAGCGGCCACATGGCCTGGCCCGGCCTGGCCCAGCAGGCAGGATGCGTCCGAGCCACGCGGGCAGCCCGAGCCGCCAGCAATGAAACAGGTCGTGGTCTGCTCCCCCCACGAGAAAAGTCGCCCTGGGGCTGGGGGCCTTTGCCGGGGCGGAGGCGCTGGGGGCCGCACACACCCTTCCCTGCTCTCTCTCTGGCTCAGGAGTGCCCCTGCGTTCTGCACGAGGAGGACCTGCGGCTGCTGCGGGGCCCCTCCGCCGATCCGCCCCGCACGCCCGAGGGGCGGCTGCTCTTCCCGGGGGCAGAGCTGGCCCCCAACGGCACCCTCCACTCGGCCTGCAGCAACTGGTGAGCGAGCCCCGCGTCCCGTCCCGTCCCGATCCTGGCCGGGCAAGGCCGCGGGAAGCGCTTCCCCCCACCCAGGTGGCCATGGGAGGGGCGAGGTGCCGTCACGGATTCTCAGCCCCCGTGCAGCTCCCGGCAGGCCACGCAGTGGTGTGGCGGCTCCCCGCCCCCGTCCCCCCCCGTCCCCCCCGGCAAGAGGGTCTGCCACCTCCCTCCCCCTCTGGACCCTCTTGCCCCCTGGCCCCGCTCCGGAGCGCTTGGCCTTGAGGAAGGGAGCCTCTGCTGTGGGCCGGGCTGGGCTGGGCTCGGCCTTCCTCAGCCGGCGTCTTTGCTCTCCGAAAGAAGCGAGCCAGCGTTCTCCGGAGGCGCAAGAGGTGTTGTTGGGCGATAGACCCGTTCTTCTGCGCAACTTTGGGTGTGGGGGGTTCCTCCGTTTTGCTCCTGCCCTTGGTAGCCCGTGGGGCTTCCCCTCCCCGTCAGGAGCAGGAGTCCAGAGCAAAGGGGGGGCTTGGTGGCCAAGGCGAGGGAGCCCTACGGCGGCCCCTCCCTGTAAGCTGGACGGGAGCCCACATATGGTTTGCCTGTGGGCCTCTGTGCTCCGGGGGACCCCCGGCCCGGTCGCGGCCCCTTTGCCGGGGCGGGCAGGAGAACCCCCGCAGCGCTGCGAGCCTCAGGCTGGCAGGGCCCCGGCCGTGTCCCGCGGCCTCGCCCGGGGCCAGGCTCCGTCCCCCCTCCCTGGATTGCTGGCCAGCAAAGAGGGCCCCCCCGGCTCGCTCGTGGCTCTCTCCGGCCCGGCTGCCGCACGCTCTGCCACGAGCCCCGCAAGGCCAGCCAGGGCCCCCCGGCCCTGCGCCTCTTGCCAGCGTGCCAGTTCGCCCCAGGCAGCCCGTCCTGCATGCCCTCCCCTCCCCTCCCCTCCCCTCCCCT